AATGATAAAGAAGAACAACAATCAACACATGAACCTAAAAAGCTCAAATCTTACTTGTCCAGTATAAACAGTGTTGTCTTTTCCGGTTCCTTCAACCTCAAAGACAACTTCTTCAAAAACCCCGGTTTTTCTTCAGCTTTATACACAACCGCCACCGGCTTTTTCTTCAGACCCCTAATATCCGGACTCCCTGTCTGCTTTATCTCCGCCGTAGCCCTAATATCAAGCAGTTGTGCGCTTCCATCGGCCCCCAATTTCATGTACGCCGACTTTGCGCTCTCGACTCCCCACGGCTTCGGCTTGCTCAGCAGCCTCGAGACCACAACCGGCAAGGCCACAACCGCCGCCCCGCCGCCGACGATGATCGGATTTTCGGATGCGAAACTGATGAAGCTGTTGATGTCAAAATCCGACGCGGAGCTGCGGATGGATTGCTGGAGGGCCTCATCGTATGTCAATGCTTTCGCTAATTCGGAGCTCAGTAATGAAGACAAAATGATCAAACTGCCTTGCAAAGGTTTTGAAACGGGAAAGGATTGAATTTTTAATGGAGAGATGGTGGCTAATGATAAAGGGTTTTTCTTGGGCTCTGTTTTTTGAGCAAAGACTGATAATGGTGTTAGCCCAAGTGCCTTGAGTGCCTCCATTTCATAAATGAGCCGAAAAGCTCGAGTCTTTCCTTTTTCTTTTTTCGATTCTTTAAGCTGTAAACGCCATGAGAAGAAGGGAAGTGATGACCTTTGAGTTTCTTGAGGTCGAGATTTTGGTGGTGTTCGGCTGCACTGAGGTGGAAGAGAGGAAGAGTGATTTGACCAGTCTCTGCATGCCACGTGTCGAGAAAGATGATCCCAGTACTGGGGAATCTAGATGGATGAGCCTTTTTGAGCTTTCATGATTATGTGGCTGTGAAAATATCAAAGGGATGATTTAGAAGTTGGTTGAAACTTCACGATGCTACATGGGCACAACACTTTAAACGAGATTGGCTCGACTTGACTCGAGTTCGGCTTGTTAAAGCTCGAGTTTGAGACCTTAACGAGCTCGAGCTCATTTAAAACTTGATTGACCTAACGAATCAAGCTCGGATCGGCTCGATAAGGCATAAAGCTCGAAAATAGAATTTTTATATAATTTTTTATAGTTCGTGTCGTTAAAGTTTGAGATCGGCTCATTAAGGCTCGAGCTCGAGGCCTTAATGAGCCGAGCTCGAGCTCGATTTTAAGCTCATCTATTAGAGTTCGAGCTCGAGCTCGATTTCAGGCTCGTTTATTTAACAAGTCGAGCTCGGCTCGGCTTGTTAAGGGCTCGAGCTCGAGCACCCTAAGCTCGAACTCGGCTTGGCTCGTTTACAACCCTAGCTGCAACAACTGATCCCACATTGTAAAGATTATAATGTGTAAAGGTTGTCATCATTCTATGCTCAAAATTTTTTACTTTTTGACGTGGTTTTCACCATTTTCCATTTATGTTTTTAAAGATTACAAGTTGTAGCACAAAAAATTTAGGGCTCGCTTGTTTATAAAATAATTCGTCCAATATGAGTTATTTTGGTTAACTAGATTTAATTTTGAAAAAGGTGATATGGTTAGTTGTTGATGAGATTTTAAAAATGTATTAAAATAATATTTAAAATAAAATGATTAAAATTGATTTGATGTAAAAGTATGAGATAAATGATTAAAATGATTGGGAATGATAAGTAGTTAAAATTATGTGAGTGAATGAATAGTGAATTAAAGTTGATGTGATGTGTAAGAATGATTGGGTTGTATTTATTAATTATATGAATAATATTAAAGATAATGAGGTTGAGTTAAAGTTGAGTTAAATTTTGAGTATGAATTAAAATTGAGTGAAATAATTGATAAACAAGCATGCCCTTATACTCTCTCGTGTCGTTTTGAGAAGTTGCACAATAATTAAAAATCTATTTTTTGCTAATAATAACTCTCTTTTATGATAATTAATAACGTGAAAAGTAAGAGTAAATATGAAAAGACATAGTATATTTATTAGCTAAATGAGGCAATAATGGAAAAACATGTACTAAAGATCCAAAATGACATTTAAAAATAATAGGACGGAGTATTAAACTTTCAAGTACTTATTAAAATTTCTTTTTTATTTAAAATGATAGGCACCATCTCTAAGAATAACTATTATATCATAATCATAATTCAATAAATAATTGCCTAGCTAGAAAATTTGCTTTTATTCTAATAAATCCTCATAAGAAGTAGTTGTGAGGGAAAATTTCACTTTTGATACCCTAGGTATACCTACTTTTCGCTTTTGATACCCATGATTTGCACTTAATCAATTGTAGACACTAAAGTCTATAAAATCAATCATTTTTGCACGAAGCGTCAGTTGACCGTGAGTCAACTGACCATCACCTTCTGTAGCCGGTTCTTTTCCCCAAAGAAACCTAAATAATCGGTTTCCCCTAATTTTCTCAATCGAGCATACCTAATTGCTGTGAAAAAACCCCTAACATTTTACCTGTAGAAAAATTTCATTCATTTATCGCGTTCAAGTGGGCAATCGATTTCAGATTGTACGTGGGTTGTGAGCTTCCATTTCAGATTGCGACGAGCATATTTATAACTGCGACGGCCCATCTGACTCCATGGCGAGAAGGATTATACGTGGGTTGCAACCTGAATACGGTAAGTTTTCTCACTTCATTTTAATGGAAATTATATGGTTAATTTTGAAAAGTTCCATATTATCTGATTATTGTGAGTTGCCCTAAAAATTAGGGTTTTTTCAGCTGAACAAATTAGGGGTTTTTCGATTATGATCTGAACAAATTAGGGGTTTTTCAGTTGTCACTATGTGTTTATGCATACTATTTTTCAGTTCTGTTTATTTGATTTTCTTTTTTTTTTTCCTGTGTTGTAGACCCTTTGTTGGAACCAACTGTCTTCACAATTGAGTTTCTGCACGGTGGTTTAATGTTGCATATTCCTGTGAAAGATTACCGAGGTGGGTATTTGGATTATTTTGATGGGGTGGATGGGGAGATGTTTGGGTTGATTGAGTTAAAGGATTTTATAGAGCAACTAGGTTATAACAGTGATCATGTGAATGCCTGGCATGTGCATGGAATTAGTTTACAAGATGGTAGTCATATTATTGATAGTGATCAATTGGCATATAAGGTCATGAACCTTATTCCTGAAAACAGAATAGTGAGAATTGTTTTAGAACATGTACATCATGGTGATAACTACTCTAATCTTGAGGTTGAAAGTGATCCTGTCATTGACCTCTCATTTCTGGGTAGCCTGAACTCTAATGTTGAACAACCTGAACATCCTGAACAATCTGAACAGCATGAACATCATGCACAATCTGAACAACATGAACATCATGCACAATCTGTACAATCTGAACAACATGAACAAAATGAAGAGTGTGCTTCTGTTGATGATAGTGATTCAGAATGTGAGGAGTTCAATGATAGTGACTATGATATGGATGAGGATGATATTTTGTTTGACAGAAATGTTGACAAAGATGCAGAATTTGTTGGGGTGAATGAAAAAAATAATGGTAAATCAATTGAAAATGAGTTTTTGTCTGAGGGTATATTTGAGGAAGAGCATGATCTTGAGTTAGGGGATAGTGATTCATTTGAAAGTGTTAGAGGATCTGATGAGGAGGATAAAGTTGTGAAATTCCCTAAATATAATCCTAAAACTGACAAAAACCCTGAGTTGACTTTAAGGATGATTTTTAGTACAAAATCAGAGGCTAAGGATGTTATTCAGGGTTTCTGCTATAGAAGAGGGATGGTGATTCGTTTTGATAGGAATGACAAAAGAAGATTGAGAGCTAGGTGTACCACAGAGGGGTGTGGGTGGTATATTTTTGTTTCACCAATGCAAAATGACTCATCTTGGCAGGTGAAGTGTTATGAAAAAACCACAAGAGTTGTTCTTGGAACTATAATAATCCTAGCATCAAATCTGGGTGGATAGGGAAGAATTTCATGAAAAAATTTAAGAAGTACCCTAAGTTAGGAGTCAATGAGTTTAGGGGTATGTTGTGTACCAAGTTGAAGTCCAATATTTCTAGGCAACAAGTCTACAGGGCCAAGAAGAAAGCAATGATGCTTCTGGATGGAACATTAAAAAAACAATTCAGTTCAATTAGAAGCTATTGTTTAGAGTTGTTAAGGTCCAATCATGGTTCAACTGTTGTTCTAAAACTGAGCAATTGTGAAGAGCAATCTAGACAACCTGTGTTTCAAAGATTGTATATTTGTTTTGATGCATGCAAGAAAGGTTTTAAGCACTGCAGAAAAATCATTGGGGTTGATGGGTGCTTCTTGAAAGGCCCCCAGGGTGGTCAACTCTTAACAGTTGTGGGCATTGACCCAAATAACCAGATTTTTCCTGTTGCTTATGCAATAGTTGAAAATGAGAATAAAGATTCTTGGTTGTGGTTTTTGAGGTTGTTAGAGAATGATTTAGAGATTGATAATGAACTTGAATGGACTTTCATGAGTGATAAACAGAAAGAATTCATCCCTGCCTTTGAAGAGTTGTTCCCTAATTGTGAAAACAGGTTTTGTGTTAGACATTTACACAGTAACATGAAAAGAGATGGCTTTGTTGGTCAGTCTATAAAAAATCTTTTGTGGGCTGCAGCTAGAGCAACTAGGGTGGAAGTTTTTACTGCAAAGATGAATGAATTGAAAGAATTGGATCCAAATGCTTATGACTGGCTGGTAAAAAAACCTCATAGTCAATGGTCTCGGTCTCACTTCAAAACTTCACTGAAGTGTGACATTTTACTGAACAATATGTGTGAGTGTTTCAATTTTTTCATCCTGAATGCAAGGGACAAGCCAGTCATTGTGATGCTTGAGACAATAAGGCACTTATTGATGGCAAGACTGCAAGTGAATAGAGATGCAGCTAAAAATTGGTCAGGGAAGATCTGCCCTAGAATAAAAAAGATACTTCAAAAAAACATGAAAGATGGTGCAGAGTGCATTCCAATGAAAAGTGATGATTGGCACTTTGAAATCATAGGCCCTTATGATCAACACACTGTTGATGTTGCTGGACTGAGCTGCAGCTGTAGAAAATGGGATTTGACAGGAATCCCTTGTAAGCATGCATGTGCTGCTATTTGGTGCAGACATGAAGATCCTGAGTGCTATGTTGATGACTTGTATAGTCAAAACACATACAGAAATGCATATGAAAATGCCATCATGGGAATTTCATGTTCTGAATTGTGGCCTACATGTGATTTACCAGCTCCTTTGCCACCAATATATGAAAATAGGCCTGGTAGGCCCAAAAAATTGAGGAGGAGACAACCTGATGAGCCTCCTGCTCCATCCTCTGAAACCAGGCTTAAAAAGGTTCAAAATTCAGTGAAATGTGGAAAGTGTGGTAAACAAGGCCACAACTCTAGAACTTGCAAGAATCAACAGTCTGAAAGTAGAACTCCAGTGGCAAGAAGCATGGGTGGCACTCATTCTCAGTCACAATCTAAGTCTCAGTCTCAA